ATTTAAACAGGGCTGTCTTCGATTTGTGTTTCGACTAGTCGGTATCTGTCACTTGTCTTTTACTAAACTAATTAAACAATTTTCGTCTTTGATAATTAATTATGAACTCTCGTTCTGTTATTCACGTAATTGATCCGCGGACAGCTTATTAGCTTGATCAAATCAATGCTATTCCATTACAGCTTAAGTGAGCCATTTATTGGAGTGTCCGGTCTAATAATCAATTATTTCAACGATAGAATAATAAATTATGTATATTTTTAATAAAGGATTTCGGGAGAATACTACTAAGATCAGCAATATTATTTTATTTCACAACATAGACAACATTACAACATGAATCTTTGACGATGGAGGAAGAGCTACTTATATATCTTTTCTGTCACAAGAAAAACGAGACGCTTTTATATAAATTATATACTATGAAGAACAATTAATTTTAGCGTTTGTGCTGTCACATATTTTTCGACACGGCCCTTACGCGTTCGTCGTGCGTGAGTCGTCGGTCGGTCGTTTTTGCGGCGTTACGCCTTAGCGTTTTTTAGTGGCTGTGCCGTACGGCACCGCCACACCGCGATTAAGTTTGTGGGAGATAAATTCATCGTATGTGGTTGACGTATCGGTCGCCATGGAGAGAATGACCTTGTTGGTGAGTTTGATTCGCTTGAATAAAGGGTTCCATTCCCTCGACACTCGTATAAAATCAACAACATGTGAGGCATTTATATATTGTTGAATCATCCCAAACTTGAAACAATCATGGTAGAATCGTAGAGTCAGCCGTTTTGCCTTTGGATTGGGTTAAGGATTGAACGGTGAAAATGAATAATTTAACCGAATTTTTGTCCTCGGTTCTTTTGTAGAAAAAGCTGAAACTAGAATTGATTTAGTGATTGGTGAGGAAGAAGTAAAAACAAAAATACTAAAATTGACTTATACTTATCAAGTTGCTGCGCTTGTCACAAAATTAGCGACACGCTGCTGCGCCTGTCACAATTTTTACGACACGCTACCAAATTAATATTAGTTTGTATTACTGAACTAAAATTAGTGCCGATTGTGGGTTTGTTTGACTATGGAGGAAGATTTTATCATGTGACTTACTTATCTGATTCATCAGATCAGCTTGCCGTAACATTAAGATGAAATCTACGAAAACATTACAGAATGGCTGAAATGTGTTATTTTTATACTAATATAAATCCATCTCAGATGCTGAATGCTGAAATTTGTCAGATTTAGTGCTGGCAGTTTTGGACTACTTCTACCTGTGTTGTATTAGCTCTGAATCACTAGTATTAGCATCCAAGCATTGGACTGCAGTTCAGTGAAATTCAGTAGCATTTCTGGATTTTCCCATGCCAGCCCCAGAAGGAAGAGATAGAGCAGAGCATCATAGTTTTGTCTATGTATCCACCACAATAATTTTTGTAGTGTTGTCTGAGTGCATCTTGCAAAGTTTTGTGCAAGGTTGGTCCTGGTTGGAAATCCCAATTCAATCCTGTACTATAGAGAAGTGGTTTTGGTTCAATATATGGCAAGCCTAGATAGAAGAATAATGAATTATCATCAGCATGACAGCAGAAAGAGTTGCTTTGGGCACTTAGGACAAATTGAGGACACACCCATTTGAAAAAGCATCAGTAATGGCTTGTTTCATGGATGCTGATGGGGTAGCTATTGGTGCAATAAAGTATGGTGGAAAAGAGGCCATTATTGTAAAAAAAAACAAGCAATAAACAGTGTGACAATGTGCACAAAACAGTTGGTGACATTAAATAGGAATGCATTATTTTAAAGCTATACTAACAAGGAGGTGTGGAGTATGAAACAAATCTAATCAAGGTTTGGTGAATGCTGTCACATCATGGAAACAATTATGAATTGTGAGAATTACCTTGCTCTCCTTTGATTTTTGCAATTAACCCTGCAATACTTGATGCAGGTCCTCTTGGCAATCTATCTTGGATAAGTTTTTTTTCAGTGTAATTAAGGAAGGCTTGACCAGAGACATATTGATCCTGAACTTCTTGATATGCTCAGGCAGAAGGAATAACTTTAGCCCATCATTATTATCTGTCAAAAACTTTACGACTTGTTCTGGATCCCCGTTTTCAACCTCTTCTCTTGATGGAAGAGAGATAGGTGTCTGTGTAGATGTAAATGTGGATATTTTCTGAGTTTTTAAAAAAAAACGAATATCTTGTTAGAATTGCTGAAAGGCGACCCTTCTATACCCCACCACAACACCATGACTGTGGTTTTCCTCCACGAATGAGGTGCTGCCACTTGTGAATCTTTAGAGGCGTACTTACATGTGATTTGGAGGAATGCGTGTTGTGAAATTTTGCTTGGTTAAAAAAAACGTATTTCCGAAAGGGATGAAGCGTTAGTTTTTTTTTTTTTTCAAAGCGCACGTTAGTTGAATTCGTTTTGCTACTTGTAAATCTTACAATGGTACTTACTAGTAAATTGAGAAATTGAATGAACCGTAAAGCGGCTTGCGTTGAACAGCCGGTTCGTACTTTTAAACACTGTGAAAGATTTTGGCAAAAAACGATACATTTTGAAATAGTAAAATTGTTTGTTTTTTTCCCAGAAAGGTGTGCCGAAGCGTAACTGCTATCGCTATGCACTTAAGAATCCTGCCTCACCCAAATGTTGGAAGAAAATGTTTTTACGGAATGGGGCGATGTCAGAAGTTGATACGAACTCAATGAATGATAGCACTTTTTAAAATGACGTCACAGGTTTACTTTGTCTGGTTTTGTTGCAGCACGCCCCATATAATCGCCAATTTGCAATTCTATTATTAGTGACATATTCGCGTCGCACATAAAATTTCAGTTTTTCAGTAAACTTTTTTGTTCAGTATAATTTTTGTCTTTTAGTCGGTCAGTTCTCCGTAAATCGTGATATACACAATGAAGTCCGCTTTAATGAAGGTCCGCTTTAACGAAGGTCCGCTTTAACGAAGATAGCCTTATAACGGAGCTTTTCAGGAACCGATTCATTCATATATGCTTAGCTCCCGGTTTAACAATTAAAATCTGTATAACGATATAACAAGATAAACCATTCAGTTTAACTAATATTGCCTAAATTAGCATGATATACCGAGATTTTGGTGCATAACGATAGTATCACACTGCATGTAATAAAGATGTCTTCGCCCATTCAGGCTGCAATGATTGTGAGGAACAAGCCTCACTATTGTTAGATATAGAATCTTCTTCCAAAAACGTCCCCGACAAAGACAAATATTGTTCTGGATCAAAGAAACTACGTACAAACCTTACAATTGTTATGAAGAAGAAGTCGAAGAGGAAGGAGAGGAAGAAAAGATAAAGGAAGAAGGAAAAGTTTCCTTTGTTCAAGCTGTAACGGCTCTTGATAAACTTGTCTTATTTGTCAGCCTCAAGTATATAATCAGCTAAAGCAACTGCGTAAATAAATTGTTGAAAAAAGTATTGCAGCAAAAAAAACAGACATGTTTAAAGGATTTTATTAACTTTAAAATTCAATAGAGGAACAGAATGGGTAGGATGGAACAGAAGTAAACGAATAAATTCCACTTTAACGAATATCACGTGATTATAATGAAAGTTTGTCATATAGGTAGAAGTCCGCTTTAACGAACAGTCCGCATTAACGAAGTTCTTTGGCGGAACGGAACTCTTCGTTAAAGCGGACTTCCACTGTGTATTGGACATGTCAAGTCTGTCAATCTACTTGATCTGATCGACATATCGCAGCAAAAATTACTAATTTTGACTACGTCATATTAAAATTTTCCAAATTTTTCATCATCCACACACACTTATTTTCTATGTCCTTGTTCCATCGCTCTTTTCTGTCTATCGCTCGCAACAATCAAACAGCCTTTCGTGGAAGAGGTCCAGCAAGTGATGGCTTGCTTGATTTCTTTTACAACCGGGAGAAGTCTATTGCTGTCGCCAGTGAGCTTCAATGTGGTGAGTTGGATCGATCGAGTTGATCTTTCTGTTAATATAGGGATTTGCACTGGATCAGGCCTAGACTGCTACAGACAACTAATTGAGTGTGTTTGCACGCAATGAAAAGGCAGAGCATGGCGAGCAGCCGAGCTGAGACGAAAGAGCTTTGAAGATCTGCATAAACTTTGGTATGTGCTATTAAAAGAACGAAATATGCTTGCTACGATGAGAGAGGAAGCGAGGCGGATAGACATGCTGTCGCGAAATCCCGAGTGGTACACAGCATTTCAAGAACGAGTTTATAAGGTATGAGCATCTTTTCTTTCACCCACGAAAAGGTTATAATAGCATGCTTTATCGCTGATGCTTGTTGTAGTCAGTACAATATGTTCACCTTCCCACCTCGATCTCCCTTCCATTCAAACTGTCTCTTGTTATGTAGTGTCAGAAAGGCATGGCACGTATAAAAGGCGTACTTAACGAACGCCGAGTATGCTATATCCAGGCTAAAAGACGTGACCCAGAATACTTTGAATATAAACGTTTGACCTCTCAACGTGCCTCTGGGTCTGTAGAATCATATATTCCCGAGCCACCGCCGATAGAGCCAATTAGGATACCAAAGAAATTGAGTAGGAAGAAGCGGAAGGAGAGGGTTTGGTTATTCGGATCGATGGGACACTATAACAAGATCGTGGAGAAAGTCAAAGAAAGTGCGCATACTACATAAATAGACTCGATATGCACGGGCTATTTAGATCTTTGTATAAATGAAAGTTGCAACGCAACACGATTTCTTAATTGATCAATAGATGACAGTTGGGTCATTTAAACTCATATTTTTTCGAATCAAAGAAGTGCCTATTATTATCTTTCTCCGTCGTCTTCATCAATAAACTGCCAAAGCTATCAATTGATACATGTGGCGTTTAAAATGATTTGCTTCAATTATTATAATTGACGTATTCATAATGACGTAATTTTAATAATAATAATAACGGTAGTTATCGATCATAGAATAGCTAAGTGTTTGAATAGCTAAGTGTTTGGTCATAGAACGGTAAACTGCACTGTCTACAGACAATTGCAAAATTAGCAATAAATAACAAAACACAATTCAAATTATCCGAAATTAAATTCACTAAAGAAATTTCTCTATTTTTTAATATTCTTAACTTCAATGACTGCTCGTTTTTCCATAGCGCAAAATTGTATTACTATTACTTTTTTTTTTTTCAGGTTTGAGAAAGGAAAAATTTATGGTATCGCGGGGAAAAACGGAATTGGCAAAAGCACCATTACTAAAACTACGCTCAAAAATTTCATCAATAACAATTGATACATATTAATATGTAGATACCACTAGCCTCTGTCAGACCAATCCAGTCGTCCCACCTTTTTCCGAATGAGTATGTTTTTTACCCTCATCAATACAACGTTAAAGACTACTGAGAATTAGCGAAGGCGGGCCAGCAAGTTGGTATTTACGAATTCATTAATAAACTTCCCAAGGGTTTTTAAGACCGATTTTTCCAAAGGGCAAAAACAACAAATGGCCGCCATGCGGATGTTTATCAATGACTACGACATTTACAGTACATCCTTGATGAAATACTAACGCTGAGCAACGTTCACCCAATTTAAAAACAGTTTTGGTTATTATTGATCATGTCGATCATGTCTATCAATTTGCGGAATTAATTGCCAAAGATAAAGAAGAATTTGTAACAGTTCTGGTAATTGGGGATCCCAACTTATTATGAACCACGAAAGAAACGAAAACTTGAAGAAATATAAAACAAGGAATCTAAATAATTATTTTCTTTTTATCAACGATAATGCGAGCAACGTTGATAATAAGAATATTCGTTAGTTCTGTTGATTCATCTATTCCAGCTGCTGCATAACAAATCATAAATCGCACGCCTCCGAAAAGTACAAGGATCGAACCGACAGAACTTTGTCCTGAGCTCCTTTGAATCCTTTACCCAAACAAGTAGGTCTGGACGTTGATTACCGATAGTCGTGGAATTGGAATTTCTTCAAATAATAAAGTACAGTCAACAAACGACAGCAGCGTAATCATTATAGCAGTGAAAACATACCGATCGTGGTAATCATGATTTATTTCAATGGGTAGCTCTCCATCTGAACATTCCTAACAAATTCTTGGTCATGCAGAATGTCTTGTTCAACAATATCTCCGTTTCTGTAAAAACACACCGAGGTGGCAAACTTCGCGAAATTCATAAATCTGGCCGCAGGTGTGATAAACCAATTAGGAAATTCTTACTAAAATTCGTATGTAATACAATGCTAATGCAAGTCAGCTGCGTAAAGTTCAATATCAGACGAATTTAAAATGTGGGTACAACATTGATATTACCAACCATGTTACAGGCAACTTGTGCTCAATGGGAGATTGGATAAGCCCTTTAAGATCCTGAGAGAGCCTTAGTTGGGATGTCACCCTTCGAATTGTTTTATGAGCTATCGACAAATAATGCCCGTATTGTCTGCGAGCTTCTGCAACGTTCTGGCAGCTGTAAAGAATAATTAGGCGTGAATACAGGGAAGAAGGAAGCAAAATTAGTCGATGTTCAAGAATTATCATTATTCGCAACAGTCCAGAAACTATTGAAAATAATTGCGTTGCAGACGTATCCTCCGAAACATCTGCTTTATTGTGCAGTTTGCAAAGCGAAAGAATAAAATAACACAAAGAGTGTGGATACTGATGGTCTGCTTCACACTACTCTATTATCTATGTCCCCAACGCCCGAGTCACAAAGTCGTTACTACACTCACCGGGAGTCACGATACCCGTGTCTATAGTGCAGGTTGAAAGAACTTCCTGCGCTTCATTCTTCTGAGTGGTATTACTACCGAAGAAGAACCGCAAAGCGGTTTTCCTCATCTGTAAATCGAAGACGAGAAATTTCGGTATATACAATGTCTAGCCATGCACTCATGTGACAGTGTGAAATATTTTCTTTATGCGTTTGATCTACGTTTCATTCAAATGACATAACTACCCAGCTCACTTGGAGTAAGTTCTCACTCCCACTCATTCTCAATAATGGGCCAAACACTTTTTCCTTCTACTTACCCTCGTATTAGTCGCTGATGTCGGGGCTTCAGCGTTGAGGTCTGAAGGTGAGGTTAGGTCTTGGGGTCATTGTCGTGTCTTTTCAATAAGATATAGAACGTGCCGTCAAAGTGGTGGGAAAGCGGCAAACGAGTAAGCGACTCATATGTAATTTCAAGTACAGTAGATATTATAACAAATAATTGGGTTACTTCATGACACGATTGTTCAGACGAGAAGATAACTGTCGAATATCTAAGCGTGCATATGATAACAAACTTCTTATTCTGACTGGCAATTCAAATACGACTTGCTAAATCAGGAATTACAATAAAGTAGATCATCTGATTCTTTGACAATGTAATCAATCATGCGGCTAGCATTAAGAAAAATCGGAACGAAAGCCGAGTCATCAGAAGGCAAACAATCATTGATCTAGCTTATTGTCTTCCTGGTTTAGCCAGTCAGCCACGCCCTGTGTGCTAGGAGTGTTGGAGAAAAAAACTTTTTTACTGCATGCATGTAAATGCACAATGTCATAAGAACAACGTTCGTACCATTGGAATTCGCACGTTTTGTAGTTAACAAACATAAATTGGTAGTTTTTTATACATAATGAACTGAATCAATATGATTTAGTCATTGTCTTTATGATTTACATCTCCATATACATAGATAAGCACATGTCCAAAATGCAGTGACCACCGAATAAAGGATCATTCGTACTAATACGTTGGTAATCCCTTGCCCCGTTCTCCTTAAGCCTAATCAAGCAATCACGATAAGTCGAACACAACTGGTTGGGCATAATATTTCGTGTACAGAGAATACATTTGAGATAAACGATACTTATCAGTAAATCAACGAAGAAGAAAATGTTAGCTTCACTATCAATCAATAGCATGATAGTTGATAACATATAAAATTGCAAGTGGCTTGGCGCTATTATAAACAAAGAAACCGAATATATGGATAAGTCTATTAATAGAATCATAAACAAATATTGCGATTATAATGGTACTTGTGATGCTCATGTGATATGACATCGCCCGACATACCACCGTTCAAAACAAACACAAAGCATATTGTCTAAACATTTGTTTATAGTACTTCCTAAAATACTTAGTATCCCAAAAAAACCTGAAACGAGTACAATGCCAGAATAGCATGATCAGCATTAGCGTTTTCAATTATTCCGCATCCGCCGCCCTAATTATAATACTAACTTAAACGTTGCTTAAGATTATTAAACATAATAACTGTAATTATTTGCATACGAATGTTAACATCTATAACGCCCATATTTCGAAGTAGCATTTTTAACAAAGAAATGCGGAAATGTATAATTGGTTACACTGGCTACTGGCTTAATGTTTGTTCCCAATGGTAATGGAAAATAATTTCACCGGAATGGTTTATCTTGTTATCTATATAGAACCAAACTATTGGGTGTGGTGTGAGTGCATAGTGCCGTGCCCTATTGGGCGTGGTGTAATGTGTCACTTGATCAAGCTTACGTCTTGGTATGTTTGTTATTCACCATAATTAAGTAGTATGCCGTTTTTTATGTCATAGTACGAAGACAATTATTTAGAGAAGGGGTAAATTCTGTGTCTCACACTTATTTATCTTGTAGTCATGCGACTCAATAAATAAATTAACAGTATTCTTTTCATCTTCTGACAGGCAAAGCCTCACAATTAAAAGAGTTACATTGGACCACAATACATGCAGTACGGAAAGAAAACAATATCACATTCATCGTCTCTGGCGTGCATGCAAAAAAAGATTGAATTTCTAGCCGATTCCAATGTCCATTGATGCACTGCATAAAAATAACCAATATAAATTATATTCTCAAAACCATTTCCTTGCTTTCATTCTTATCAGTTAATAAAAAAAGAGTACTGTAAATATGGCGTAAATGCACATGATAGCTGTTTGCAGCACGGTATATAAGAGAGATTTAGGTACACTTAGAGATTCGTGCTTTCGTTGACGATTCCATAAGAAATTTTCGTAACATGTCCACCGATACACCTACCACTTCAATATTTGATTATACTCATTCACTCACTCCTTCCGAAATCGACCTCTTATACCATCCCCCATATAATCTTTTCCTTTCTCTTGACGTCCTCCTCGATCCTACATACAAAAGCCGCGTTAAACAATGTCCGCTGCTTCCGCGCGCTCAAAATTCATGGATTATTTTTCGTAGAGATTTTGAAAGTCGACTACGTGATCAACACCCCACAAAGTCATATACTGTTCATGACGTCTCGAAAATTGCCGGCGATCTGTGGAAGGTTCAGTCCGATGTGGTCAAAGAATATTTTTGCGTGCTTTCTAAATTAGCCCAAAAACGACACCAGCTTGCTTTTCCTGATTACGTTTACAAACCAAAAAGGACTAGACAGAGAAAAAGGAATGGAAAATTTTTATTCAAAAATATGGATAAAGCTACATTTACAAGCCAGCAAAATAATAGAACGCATGCACAAGGAAATATTGAAGATACCAGTATTAAACCTTACCAGGCAAATGAGAGTGACGGGAGCACGGTTGTTATAGATACCGACGAACATCTCATATATGAGAACACGTACAATGACATTTGGCTCGAAGGCTCATTCCAGGAAGACGATAACTACGCTACACCATCCGTCAGTCATGATCTAGTATCTGTCCAATTGACTAGTCCGGATAACTTATATGACAACAATATTTGTGACGCCGATAGCGCGTCAATTTACCCTATCGATGAAATAATCTATTTGCCTACTCAATATTTTGTTTACAATCCTACCGCTTTTTCTATTTTCAATTTCCCTCGAAATGGTGCGATTCTTGAGACAGTGGCATGCGCTTCATCGGATAATACATATCAAATGGACACCTTTAACATCGATGTGCAGCCGGTTGAAAATAATGGACAGACGTGGCCAGCAGAGTTTTATTATATCAACGAACATGGACAGGACGTTTTTTCTTATTCGATAATGTATGAGAATAACGAAAATATCCCAACGATTCTCAAGGAATAAGAAACGGTTGTATTTTTTAAGCCAATTTTGATGCTATGATGTGATGTATAATTTTTCTATGCAATATGAAACTTGTAACTTATGATACTGAACATGTGTAGTTAAATATGACAATCCTAGTCGAAAGACGCATCTGCACATATGTAAGTTAGTGAACTATTACGTTGTTGTTGTCAATAAGATATTTTATGTAGTATTTTTTACGGATTAAAAAAATGTATATTAATATTTCATTGTAAAGTTAAGGAACAAATTATATCTTTCAAAATAAAGTCGTTGTTATAGCATAAAGTACATAAATGTATAGTATTATTCCCGGTCATCAGCAATGCATGATTACGGTTTATGGTTTAATTCGAATTGCGAAAACTGAGGTACCTGTATTAGACAGTTTAATAAAAAAAATTATTATTGGGACTCTTAAGCGCTAAATCACGATTAAAAGTCGAGATATCTTCATTGAACTTTTCTGCAAAAATTGAGTTTATATTTACATTATATCATGCGCGCATTCTTGACGTATAGCAAGAATAGCTCGAGCGTTGGAAGATCAGGATCTCAGATCGGGAACTGAGCACGGGAATCAAACTGTGTGGCTAAATGCATGTATTTGTGGTGTAGATGTAAACCTATTACTAATATAACTGTCGAGTGATGTAATTACCCCAACAGCAGCCCTTCATTTACTACCCGATTACTTATAATTTTTATATACGGGGACAGTCACAAAAGTGGGGGTTTGAATTAGTAGTACGACAACATAGGGGAAAGCACTATATGAAGGGTTTTTTTGCCGATTATTTTAGAACGTACTGTATAAACTTCGACTGCTGAAGCTTTGAAGGAAGAAAGCTAAGCTATGGCAATACACCCTTTGGCGCATGCACTATAAACACATAGAGCGCTCTTTAATATGGAGTGTGCATTTTTATCAGTCAAAAGTAGTAGAGGTTTGAATCCGTCGTTCGGTTTTGCAATTGTATAATCTGTTCATTTGCCCATTCTCACGTAAATCAATTGCGCGATAGTTATATAGCATTATGCTAGATGATAATGGAAACCAGCTTGTTATTTCTGTTAAAGAAGGATTAGAAGCTCTACAAATAGCTATGCATTTTTGTTGCAACAATCGATCCGATGAAGTTATAGTATACTAATGAAGTTAAAAAGTGACCAGTGTAAAGAATACCATGGAAAAACAAATAAGAATATTCTTGCTGATCTTTTTTTTAATAGTGTGCATGATATGTTAGACAATAGAACTATAAAGCGCTTTCCTTGACGTAATAATAAATGCATGTTTGCATATTTGAAGTTAGTAGTAGATAAAAAACACTGTATGCACCAAGGCGTATATTGCCATAGTTTTTAAAAGCATAGTTTTAGCCTTCTTTCTTCGAAAGCCTCGGCATTTGAAGTTTATACAGATAATCGGCAAAAAATTTTTCATATAAGGGGCTTTCCCTATGTTGTCGTACTACTAATACCCCAACAAGGCAGACAATAATAATTGCTGCGTCGTTCGGGCGTAGCAAAGTGTAGTGGTTTACTATTTTTGGGGGAACGATGTTATTAGTCAAGATAATATCAGAGTTGAAAACTAATGACGAATGGAACATTTTTTTATTATCAATAAGCCAAATCTATTGGGTCCAAGGCAGAAAACCCATTACTATTACAGGTACACCTTAGTTGCTTCTAATAAAGGACACAATTTTGGAAATGAGATGGTAGAAGCAACTAGCAAAATACTAGCAAAAACACATATCACATTTTGTAATGTTAATTCAGCTTCTGTGGAATGACATTGACTACCTGCATTCAAAAGTCTTGGAGTATGTATATTATTGTCATCTAGGATGTATTGGATATGACTGTAATATCATTTCTGGACACAGATTAATTCCGTAAAGAGTTCACTATTTGGTGAGCTTTTCGTGAGCATACAAAACAAAGTAAAAATTACTTGTGGCTCTCACATGTTCTTTGTCCATTTCATCTAACACTAACCTTACAAAGTTCTTCCAAACATAAAAGCTGCAGGGACCTTACAAAGTTCTTCCAAATGTAAGGCTGCAGGGACCAGAATTGATTGTATAAACACACTGGTAACCTAATCCGTTCCGCCTTATCCAAGTCTTTCTTCAACTGCCCGTACCCGTTGCCTGTCCTAGTACTGCTAATAATGAGTGATGTTAACTGATTATTTATTCGCGAAACCTTATGACCAAGACATATTCCCTCTATATCTACTATCTTCTACAATCAAATTCTTTGACTGTCATGGACAGATATCCCATCAAAGCAAACTTACCCAATGTTGACATCAAAATCACGCGTTCCAAGGTACGGTGTCGCCTTGTCACCATCTCCATGACTACAGTGAAACATGCATGGCTTTCATTGTCAAGTCTGATTAGGCTTTCACTCTCTTTTTTTTTGTTCGCGAATAATTTCGGTAGGGTAGCAAAACACTTTGGGATTCAATTATGATTTTTCAGATCCTAGGCCATGCCATATATTCGGTTAAATAGGAATCCAAACATTTTGGGAGCTGCAGACAGATCGACTTGGTAGCTACAATCTTTGTCACATACACAACACATGCACACTATTCACTCTTCATAAATTGGTTTAAAATATTTTGGATCACCACATTCTAAGATGCTTGTCTTCCCATGCTAGTTTAAACCCGTGCTATATGCATGCTGCTGCGTGTAATGAGTAGACGTTCGTCGGCAATTAGTATGTTGCATTTCTGCTAATATCCCTGTCCATCCAACAAGGAAATAACTAAAGCATCTGTCAGACTTTCTATCTATCGTTAATACATGTGTGTTAATTTTATTACCATTGTTCCAATGCACTTGTAAATACAGGACTCCAACATCCTGGGATTGCTTCAATTGTCATGTATTGTGACTTGATCCTTCCTGTTGTTAATGTTACGGTCGGGAAATAAAATTGGGGTTTTTGGGAGAGCGATTTATCTTTCGTGTAAGTGTGTTCGCCGACCGGGGGATGTTACAGGTTTAGCTCGTACTATCGCCCTTACTACGATAGTTGTGCAATTAAGACTGAATTAAGCCTCAAGTGACCTATTTTTATAATTAAATTAAATGCGCGCTTCTCACTCCCTATCCGAGTTTCAAACACTCGTGAATACAAATAAGGGTACCTCTAATAAAATAATAAC